GGTGGAGAAATAAAAGTTTCTGAATCAGTAAACAAGTTAAGTTACTATCCATTGTGACCATCTACTACAATCTAACGTGTTGTATTTCTCTGTATATATATATATATATATATATATATATATATATATTCATTCCCCTATATACACCTTCCCTCAAGTGGTTGGAGCCCTATTCCCGGGAATTTATTTTTAAGTTTGCAAAAATATAATTTATAAACATATACTTTTTAACTCTGAAAGGCACTGAATTGTCTCTTGGAGACAAAGTTGTCTGAATCTGAAGTATTCATTCATCCATCCCTTCAAAAAAAAACCCAAAAAAAAAACCCCAATACTTAATTTTCTGACTTTACATTTGTTATGAATTTCTTGTTTTAGCGCAGTTAAAAAATGTTTTGTATTAAAATACATTATATCTGCCTTCAAAACTGCATCTCTCCAAGTTTTTTTTTATATCTTTTTTTTTTCCAGCCAGGTCACGAGAAAGTGGGGATCCCGGACGAGCCCCCACGTCACCATTGGCCATTTTTATGGGCTCTTATTGGTGTGTGCTCAGAATCTTTTCACTGGATGATACCATCCACTTCTAGCTTGGATCTTAAGACTTACTCAACCTTGATTCCAAGCAAGCCGAGTCGAACTGAATATTAGACATCAGCAGACTGCAGGCTACTGATGTTATTCATTCAACCTTTATTTAAACAGATGAATCACATTGAGCCTCGAGGACTCATTTACAAGCGAGACCTGTTTGGACAAACAATAAAAAGCGGTGAAAAATGGCACATAGGGTTTGGAAACAAAAAAAAATTCCTAGCATGCTCTTAATCTTTGGCTGAAGGTCAACAGCATGATAATGAAATAAAATCTCGCGCACATAATGACGCCGACATTCCACGGAGAGACGCAAGGGCGGTGAGCAGTTTCACAGACGGGACAGAGCAAATCAAAGCGGAGAGGGAGAGGCGAACGCGTTCACCCTTGACAAGAGCAAGTGTTGAAGTGACTGACCAGAGAGTTGCCATTCATGAGAACATCTCTTCACAAGAGTCAAACCCGACGTTTGTAAAAACTTCTCAATCGTAGCATACCTTTTTTTGTTGTTCCCTTTAAAAAATATTGACGTATATCCATTAAAATAGCAACATGTAAACCAACAGTGTGGTACTATGAGGAAGTGTGGACATTTTTTCTTGTCAGCTGAGGAAAGAAATCAGAGGACGCTTGACCATAAACGGAGAAATGGACTCAATGTACGGGCTTCGCCCATTAGAGTGAAGGTAGCCTCGGCTTGGCCATAACATTTTTAGAAACCAGGGCAGAGAACGATGAGCCTTTGTGACTATTTCACATTTTTACCCATTGGTGGTAAGCTCACTTTGAACCCCAATATTTTAAAGTTAAAGTTGTCGAGCAGCCTTGCTATGACATATCGAACCAAGTGGAGCTGAAGTGAGTCGTGGTGAGACTGGACAATGGAAAAACGCTACAATAGATTAACAA